ATATATATATATAGAGAGAGAGAGAGAGAGAGAGAGAGAGAGAGAGGTATTTTTACACCTATGTAGTTATTTATGAAATGTTATTTAATTTTAATTTTTTTAAGATTTATTTTTGTTTATTTTATTAAAAGTCATGTTCTAATTGTAGTTTCAGTTTGTAGCTTTAATAGAAATTGTCCTTTTCAGCATGAATAACAACATAAACGTATGTCATAAAACATATGATATATTTACAGAAAATCATTAGATATTTAAAATTTGTGTTTGAACTGCCATCTGTAGAAAGTTGGTTAATTTGTACATATTTCATAATATTTAATAACTTTCAGATATTGTATTTTATTGTATTTATATAAATAATTATATATTACTGAGCTTATTTATTTATTTGTTTGTTTGTATGCCTGTGTAAAAGACAATAAATGGGCATTATCAGTCATTAGTAATTTTTGGGAGTGAATATGGTTGTAGAATGTGGTTATCGAATTGAACTGAACTTTGAAGAACTAGTGACAAAGTGACTTTTTTTCGCTGTTTTTGACAGCACTTAACTGAATTGAGTAATCAAAATGCTTTTTGACACTGTCATGAATTATGCCCTTTTTGCATTTGCTGTTGATCAGGCAGGTGTGAGGAATGTGAATAATGAGTTTAGCTTCAGAATCAAAAGTGGATGTCGGTGGCTTTGACAGCTCTGGTTTGTGCACCTCTTCCCATGAACCCCTGGGATCTGGAGCTTATTAATCTATCAGCACCTCAGCGCCTGTGAAATGACGTTCTCTCCTGTAGGGATTCGCTGAGTGCTCCATCTACTTCACTATACAAAAGTTAGAAATGAAAAGTCGAAATGTGCAAGACTGACTAGACGTTCTTGTTAGCGTGACTGCTTCAGATAAGCGCTATATGACACTTGAATGCGTGTGAAAAGTGAATGCTCTCCAAAAGAGATTCGTCTTCAAGGTTTCATCAGCGGGAGAGAGTTTTGAGTTCTTACAGTCAAGATGGTGCATTGAAATATTTGGTAATAGAAATCGAAGCCGTTTACGCTTTCATAAGCGCATGTGCTTTCATTACATGTGTGTTTTGTAACTATTTTGAGTGCTGCGAGACGTGTTGTATGAGTGCAGTTTTCTTTATGCTTTTATCCAGAGCTCGTCATGTACTGTATGCTTGATTTCATGAATTAAGAAGAATAATGCTCACGCCTGCAATTTCACCCAATTAAACTCCACAGTTATTTACTTTTGTAGGCAATGCAGCCTTATAGGTATGTTGAGAAAATAAATGCAGTTTATACAATCACATCATTATTCAATAAAACTTGAAAATGCATTGTATAAAATAAAATGGATAATATATGCATTTAATGTTTTAATAAAAACTTTTCAGCATTACCATCTGTTATACAACATATGATATATTTACACAAATAGTTTTTTAAAATGGCACTTAAAGAAAGTTGGTTAATTTATTTATATATATATATATATATATATATATATATATATATACATATACAAGTAAATAAAATATATATTATAAAAAAATATAAACACATTTAAAATAAACTATTTATTTATTTTTATGCATTCAGCAGACATTTTATCCATTTTATTTCAGATTTCAGTTCTTGCTTTTCCTGGGAATCGAAGCCATGACCTACTGCTTACATAAAAATATTATATTATAATAGGATGACATTATTTATTTAGATATTTTATTATATTTATAATATTTGTTTTATTATTATTCCTGTGTAATGTTTATTTACAAAAAATATTTGTAACATTTTTATTTACATTTTTTGTTTGTTATAATGGAAGCAAAATAGATAGTATATGGGTTTAATGTTGACTTGAAGCCAAAACTGTTGTTTTACACTGCAAAAAATGCTTTTCTTACTTAGATTTTTTGTCTTGTTTTCAGCCAAAATATCTAAAAATTCTTAAATCAAGAAGGATTTTCTAGACAAGTAAAAATTATTGTCTTGTTTTCAGAAAATAGATGGGGGGGAGTGAATGTACAGCGCTCTCTCCCACCTTCAATACCACGACTGAGGTGCCCTTGAGCAAGGCACCGAACCCCCAACTGCTCCCCGGGCGCCGCAGCATAAATGGCTGCCCACTGCTCCGGGTGTGTGTTCACGGTGTGTGTGTGTTCACTGCTGTGTGTGTGCGCACTTTGGATGCAGAGCACTAATTCCAAGTATGGGTCACCATACTTGGCCACATGTCACTTCACTTTTAAAAAATCTAAGTAAGAAAAGCATTTTTTGCAGTGTAGTTGTGCACAATGAAGTAAGCGCAGGTTTAGTAGTGGTTTTGTTGACCTTTCATGCAGTAGAAAAGGTCTGTCTGTCTGGACGAATCAAAGTCTCCAGTGAGCCTTGTGCCCAATCGATTCCCATGCTTGGGTCTTTTCCCCACGAGCTGCTTGAGATATTACACTAGCCTTTTCCACAGCAACACACTTGGATAAATTAAATCTTCCCAACACCTCTCATTGTTAATGTGTTCAAGGTTTGTTTCTCAGCTCATGTGTGTACGTGTGCGTCTCTCGCAGAGAAACAGCTGACGGCCGCTAACTGTCTGGGAGTGTTGGCCATGGCCGAGGCGATGCAGTGCACTGAACTCCACAACATGGCAAAGGCCTTCGCCCTGCAGAACTTCCCCGACGTAGCCGGTCAGGACGAGATCCTCAACATTTCCAAAGAAGACCTGGTCAGTTACATGTCCAACGACAGCCTGAACACGAAAGCAGAGGAGCTGGTCTATGAGACGGTCATCAAATGGATTAAAAAGGATCCCAGCTGCAGAGTCCAGGTAGGAGAGCAGAGTTAATCACACTGTTTTGGTTGATGGTCATGTAGGAATACACTGGAGCTGCTCCGTATTGATTCTGGAGATCTGTTTTCTTGCATATTGTCCCTCGATAGAGAAGGAAGTTGTTCATCAAATGCAGTGCATTGGAATTTGAATGCAGCTACTTTCTCCTAAAGTTTTGGACCTTGTTCTGTGGCCTTTTGTTTTTAAACAAACCCAGTATATCAATAGCCGGGTTTCCATCCAAAGTTGCGAATTTAACTTATGATCAAAATTGGAATATCGCATAAAACATTTGCGAACAAGCACTGTTTCCATCCAACGAGTCAGAAAGAACAAAATCGTCACTTCCTGATAAACTGGCACTAAATATCATTAAGAAAAGTAAGAGAAGCCACTGAATATAATAATTCTCAAATACAATAAATTACTTGCGCGTTGAGTGAGCAGACGAAACGCAATAAATGCGGTCTTGCTTCCGGAGGTGGATGCTGCTGTTTGGGAACGCAGTCGCGGTAGACCGTTCTGGGAGGCAGTTATACAGAAATACTTTGACGACAGACTTTGCTCGGGCACTTCAGAATGACCATAACAACATTTCAGATGCTGTGCAACTAAATCGGTCCGCTGGTTAGTAGGGCTGAACGATTTTGGAAAATAATCTAATTGCGATTATTTTTACCAATATTGCGATTGCGATTTAATATGCGATTAATTTTTTTAGATCTTTATCTTCTGTATTATTCAACAAAGACAGGCAATAAATCATTGTAGGGGTGGGAATCTTTAGGCACCTCACGATTCGATTCCGATTCTGGGAGTCGCAGTCAGATTCCAAAACTATATCTTTTTTTCTTATTGATTAGTCTTATTAATAAAACTTTTTTTTAATTTAATTCCATATGTAATTATAAGTACTCTTTAAAAATAAATAACACATTAAAAATTTTTATTAAAACAATTGCATGTTAATCATTTTAAATAAACTAATATAAAACAGGGCTTAGATTAAGCCAGGATTAGGCCTTAGTTTAATTAGGACATCTAAGTATCTTAAACGTGCCTTAGAAAAAAAACATTACTGGTGTGTATTCGCAAAATGCGTTTCCATCTCCCATTATTCGCATTAACCCCATTTTCGCACAAGTCAAAAACCACCTCAAGCGAGCGTAAAAACTTTTTTGCGAATTAAGGGATTTCTTTTCGAAATTTGGCGTTTCCATCACTCGTTTCTCATGCGATACTTCAAAATGTGCATGTGCATTACTGCCGGTGGAGTAAATGCTAATGCGCGACACCTGCGCCACTCACCGGTCTCGTCCAACACTGTCGTCACTCCTCCTTTTATCCTTCCGGAGCTCCTCCTTGGGACTCGAGACCGGTGAGTGGCGCAGGTGTCGCGCATTAGCATTTACTCCACCGGCCTCGCTCCGTTCCCACGGCTCTCGGCCCCGCCCCTCTCGTCACAGTGCATTAAAGCAGGGTGGTGGAAACATAGCTAATGATTTAGGTTTATGGCAGTCAGCCTTCTATGTGTTGTTTGTTTACTGCGGACATTCAGAGTATTTTGGACATCCTGTCTAGTAGAGAATTACAATATTGTCCAAAAGTTTAGGGTCATTGTACATATTGTTGTGTTGTGTTATGTATTCATAAAATGTATACTTTTAATTAGCAATGATGCATTATATTTAGCAAATGTGACAGTAAGGACATATATAATGTTACAGAAAAAAAGTACTGTTCTTTTGAACTGTCTATTCATCAAAGCAAACTGTTTTCAACATTGATAATAATCAGAAATTTTCTTGAGCAGCAAATCAGTATATTAGAATAATTTCTGAAGGATCATGTGACACTGAAGACTGGAGTAATGATGCTGAAAATTCAGCTTTGCAGCACAGAAATAAATTACATTTGAAAATATATTCCCATAGAAAACAGTCATTTTAAATGGTAATAATATTTCATAATATTGCTGTTTTAATTGTATTTTTTTATCATATAAATGCAACGTTACTGAGCTTAAGAGACTTAAGACTTTTTAATAAAAATCTTATCAACCCCAAGTTTTTGAACGGTAGTTAAACATATTCAGATGCGGTGAACTTGAAGAGCTTAACTGGTTGATTTATTTGGAGTTCTGGAGGTTTTTGGAGTTCAAACTCTAAATTTACAACAAGGTCCATCCCTAAGATGAATAGTCAGCTCTCCATCCCAGAATAAGAGAGTGAAATGTAAACCATTGCCTCATCTGAATGTTTACCTGAATTTGTGCTTAACCAGAACGTCATCCTTTGTGTTCAAGCTGGATCTTTCATTGTTATACAGAACACAGAGATGTGTGTGTGGATCTTCTGTGGCCAGAAGAGTTTCAGAGCAGGTCTGATGTGAAAAAGGAGTAAAAACATCACTTCTCCGTTGCCTGTTCGGCAGAATTGAGAGATTAAATCACTGGTTTGTGTAGCAAGTAATCAATTTCGGGAAATGTGCTTTTTTTCCCTGAGAAATTTTTATTTTTTTTTCCCCTTTGAGGTGCAGTAGACTTTACTGATGTTCATATTACAGGTCGACCGATATGGGTTTTTCACTGGCCGATTATTGCAGGGCACAAGATGGTAATAGTAGTAGTAGCCTAATTCAGAGTAATAATACATGGCTCAAAACTTAAGCACCTTCTCAAAACAGTTCTGATGCATGCTTTTTGTTTATGTTTGCTGACAGACACCAGTGTTTTTCCCACAGACTTGCAAATGCAAATTCATTCTCTGCCAGCAGGAGGCGCTGTTGAAGCGGGAAATATATCTAATAAGCACTTCGCTCACAAACGGTACTTTATCAGGCATTACAGGAAAGACAAAATGAAAATGACATCGAAGCTTTTCTGAAGAAGGTCGGTTCTTTTCTTAACTGCTTAGAGTGCACTTGCCACGAGCGATGAGATCGTGGATGCTATTGTCGGACCTACACACACATTTCATGAGGAAAGTTAACGTGCACGTTATAATCAGCCCAGAAGTTTCATCTGAATTGCATGTGTTTCTACTTTCACATGCAAATGACTTGTTGCACTTATGAATATGATAACTTTCCGGCATCAATTCTAGTTGGGTAAAACGTAATTATGCTTTTGAAACTGTTTTGCCCTGCCATCATTAGCTGAAGCTGTGTGTGAACAAGAAGCGGCTGCAGAGTGAGAGTAGCCCCGTCTCTCTCACAGCCAGAGAGAGATTCTCCGGTGTTCCGCAACAACGCTTAGCTGCCCGCATATGCGCCTGCCTATAAATCGGCCTAATTGGTAGCACAATCGGCCGATGCCAATTAATTTAAAAATGCTAAAAATCGGCCGGCCAATCAATCGGTCGACCTCTAGTTCATATCTGTGAGAGTGTTCAGAGCGGGTCTGAAAAGAGTCCTGGTAATACGGCAGATGAAACATTCATGATGCGGTGAAGAGATTACCATCCTGAGAACGTGACGTCATTTCCATTCAGAATCGGTTTCAGACCACCATGGCTGTTTTCCAAAAACCTAGTGAGCATTTAAGGGATCATGTGTGTTCCTGACATGAAGGATGTGCCAAAAGGTACAAAATTACCTATAAATAATGAAATACTGAAATATGGAAGCTTGTTTTTGCAATGGAATTAAAATAATAATAATAATTTAAAAAGGTAATTGTGACTTCATTTCACAATTCAGAATTTTCTTTCAATTCTGAGTTTATATCTCAATTCTGAGAAAATAGTCAGAATTGCGAGATATAAACTTGCGAGATATAAACTTGCAACTCTGAGGGGAAAAAAAGTCAAAATTGTGAGATATGAACTCACAATTGTAAGATGTTAACTCGCAATTTGGAGAAGAAAAAGTCAGAATTGAGATTAAAAGCTTGCAATTGTGAGAAAAAAGTCAGAATTCTGAGATAAAAAGTACTTTTTTTTTTTCTTTTTTTTTTATATATATAGAACAGCGGTGGCGAACTCCGGTCCTGGAGAGCCACGAATTGAGATTAAAAGCTTGCAATTGTGAGAAAAAAGTCAGAATTCTGAGATAAAAAGTACTTTTTTTTTCTTCTTTTTTTTTTATATATATAGAACAGCGGTGGCGAACTCCGGTCCTGGAGAGCCACAGCCCTGCAGAGTTCAGCTCTAAAACTCACCTGCCTGTAGCTTTGTACTAAGCCTTCAGACCTTGATAAGCTTGTTCAGGTGTGTTTGATTAGGGTTGGAGCAAAACTCTACAGGGCTCTCCAGGACCGACGTTCGCCACCCCTGATATAGAACAATGTAAACTTGCCATTTCTAACTTGATATTGCAAGATATAAACTCGCAAGTCTGAGAAAAATTAGTGGCATATAAAGTCAGAATTCCAAAAAAAAAAGTCTAAATTTGAAATAAGAAGTTGCAATTGCGAGAAAAAAGTTGTAATTGTGAGATACGAAGTCGCAATTACCTTTTTTGTGTTAAACAAGCTTCCATACTGAAACATTTTACCATAAATTAAGTGACCTAAATGAACATTATGTTTTATATAATGTTTCTATGTATTAGAGTATCTCTATAACAGCTCAGTGTGTTTTGGGTCAGAACCTGTGCCTTCAGTGAAGTCTTCAAGTTTCATGACTGGCAGGTTTTCTGTAGCGCTCACTTGTTTCTGACGGCTAAGAGGCACACGTTACACAAGCGTACTGCTAAAGGGTGTATTTTAAGTTTCTGAACAGTCAGCAGTAGTTGACGGCATATGCTATGCTAATTAAGATTAGCATTGGTTGCATTATTTAAATGTCAGCAGATGAAGCTGTGCTTTTAGCAGTTTGTTGTGTCAAACTTGAATGGAAATGCATACGGATGCACAGTGCTGGGGGAGCGAGCTTGTCAAGCTACAAGATACTCATTATTTAAAGTCGTCAAGCATTTTTTTTTTTTATTTTAGAGCAACTAACAACTAACAAGCGTATATACTTTTAACTACTATATATATATATATATATATATGT